ATTATAATTTTGAGAACCAACAATACATTCCACATCCTATTCGGTTAAAAGTATGGTGATAAGTGAAAAATGCAGTTGTCTACGTTTCAAGTCCAGCCGGACAGAGTGACAAAAGGACTGGCAGAGAAGGACAGTGTGCAGTCATGAGCTCAACATGATCTGATAATAAAAAGCTTAACCACTAAGGAGGAGGCAAAAACAAAAAAAGAAGATACAGAAATCAGAAACCACAAGAGTCTGGACTGTGAGCTATGCGGCCAATCATCTCAGAGATTCCATCAGCCCTTGAAAGCATCATTATATTCTGAGATAATATAAGCAGAAGTGAAGCAGTTTGGAATAACCAAGAAAAAAATAAATTGTATTTAATAAAAATTGTTAAGAAAGGGAAATGAAAGTGCTTTTTAATAGGTTTTGTGTGTGTATATGTATTTTTTTTTTTTTTTGAGACAGGGTCTCACTGTTGCCCAGGCTGTAGTGTGCAGTGGCACAATCATGGCTCACTGCAAGTTTCGCCTCCTAAGCTCAAGGGATCCTCAGCCCCCACGCTGAGTAGCTGGGACTATAGGCACAAACCACCATGCCCAGCTAATTTTTGCATTTTTTTTAAAGAGAGATGGGGTTTCGCCATGTTGCCCAGACTGGTCTTTAACTCCTGGGTGTAAGTGATCTGCCTGCCTCAGCCTCCCACAGTGCTGGGATTACAGGCATAAGCCGCTGTGCCTGGACTAATGGATTTATTACTAAAATAGCTAGATTTCTCTGATTTTGTCAAGGTTCACTGATGTTGAATGTCTACTTATATGTAAATGATAGGTGAAATGCCACACAGTGTAGTGAGACAATGGAATACGAGTTCTGGAGTCAGGTGACCCTGGGTCCAGGTGGTTCTGGTGCTCAGGAGGTATGGTTGTCTTTGGCATACGCAATGTAACTGAAATCAGCAAGGACAAGACATTTCCAAAGGAAAGTACACCGAGGTTTAGGAAAAGTCACACCGAGTCAGAATCTGAGAACTTCAAAATCTGAGATTCTGAGAACCATGGACACTTCAGGGATGACCGAGGAGGTGGAGAAGCTTGAAAATGAGATGCAAGGGTAATAAAAAACAGAAAGAAAAACCTCAGGAATGTAGTCACCAGAGCCATCACTAGAAAGTGTTACCAGAAGGAAGAAACAGTCTGCTTTGTCACATGTTGTTACATGGTAATGCGAAGTAAACAACTGGGGAGTGTGCCCTGGACATGAGATGAAAGGTCATTAGTGTATTAGTTTGAACTTCTCAAGACAAACAAATAAATATAACTCTTTTCAGATTTTTTTTTTTTTTTTTTGAGATGGAATCTCACTCTGTCGCCCAGGCTGGAGTGCAGTGGTGCAATTTCAGCTCACTGCAATCTCTGCCTCCCAGGTTCAAGCGATTCACTCACCTCAGCCTTTAGAATAACTGGAATTATAGGCATGTACCGCCATGTCCAGCTAATTTTTGTATTTTTAGTAGAGCTGAGGTTTTGTCATGTTGGCCAGGCTGGTCTCAAACTCCTGACCTCAAGTGAGGACGCCCCACCCCTGAGTGGCGCTGCAGAACCAGAGCACCAAGCAGTGTCAGCAGGCGCACGAGAGCTGATGAGGTCTCCCAAAGTGCCCACTTTAGCCTCCCAAGGTGCTGGGATTACAGGTGTGAGCCACTGTGACTGGCCGTTTTTTCAGAATTTCAGTCATGGGGGGAAGAGAAGAAAGGAGGAGGTGGCTGGGGGTGAAGGAAAGGGAAAGTTGGCACGTGCTCTCTTTCTTAAGTGGCTAAGAAAAGCCTGAGTATGTCTAAATGCTTAATGGGAATGAGATGGCAGAGAGAGGCTGATGACACAGGAGGAAGAATGCCCAATAGATACAGTAGGGCTTCTGAAAATGCAGGGGGAGATGAGAGCCACAGCCCAGTGGAGGGGCTGAATTTAGGAGGGAGAAAAGGAAAAAGCAAAGCAAAGCAGCCCTGATGCAAGAACATGGAGGGAGTTCCTGTCTAATGATTTTTTTTCTGAGAAGTAGCAGGTAGTTCATATGCTAACAGTGAAGGAGCTTCAAGGAGGGTGGAAAAGTTAGAAATTCAGCAAAGTGGACATTTTAAGTGGTCATTAAGGAGAACCCAGAGAGGAATATGAGACCTCCCTCACCACCCAACTCCAGTCTCCTCCTTGAGTTCATACCCTAAACTCCGGACCATGTCCATGAGAAATGGTTAAGACCACTCTGAATGGCCAGGTTTAAAAAATGAGATTCCTAATGAGAATACATGGACAAAGGGAGGGGAACAACACACAGTGCGGCCTGTCAGGGGAGGGTGGAGGCAGGGAGGGCATCAGGGAAAATAGCTAATGCATGCGTCACTTAATACCTACCTAGCTGATGGGTTGACAGGTGCAGCAAACCACCATGGCAGACATTTGGCTATGTAACAAATCTGCACATTCTGCACGTGTACCCCAGAACTTAAAAAAAACAAAATAAAATGAAGTTCTTTCTATTGTGCTTTACCAAGTATCCCGCAAACCTCACTGCACAAGGGAGAGGGCCCTGGATTTGAAAATGCAATTGTGTGATAGACATTTCCACCCACAAATTCCAAGAAATTAATTTTAGGCTCATATATTAAAACATGACACTGAAAAATACAATATGTAATCAAATTGAGAATCAAAATTAAGACAAAATATTGCAGAGAAAAAAGGTCTAAGTCATTTCAGGTTTCTATTTAGAATTAAATTTCTAGTATTAAATGTTCCTTTTCAATTTGTTTTGGGTCAAGAGGTTATTAACAGCACAAAAAGAGTTAATAGAGAAGTATGGTCCAGGACAAAGATGTGTCATTACATTTTGCATAAATGCCTGTTATTGGGAAATTATCAGTTCTTAAAAACAACCATGCCTAGTTTATCAAGGAGCAGACAGTCGATTACATCAAAACCCATCTCCTATTGTATTTTATTTTCCAATTAGTAGTATAATATAAACCATATTTCTATATCCACAACTGCTTAATAAAAGGCGTAAGTTATAATATAAATTCTATTTCTGTATCTACACTTGCTTAAGATATAAAGGACATATATAGGTTTGTGTACAACTAAATCACTTAAAGTTTATTGCCAGATTTGTTTTAAATACTATGCTTACTTTTTCTTTTTAACTCAAGCCTTAAATCTTAGTGAAATCCATGACTAAAAGCAGATAAGCAAAATTAATATATAGGAACAGAGACATCTATTTAAAATATGCCTTTTAAGAATGACTGCAATTGGCTAAAACACACACATGAACAATCATAAAAAGGAACATAAAATACAAAAAGATATTTGTGAACTGTCAGGAATTTAAACCTGGCAAGAATTATAAACATTGATGAATATTAATGGAGAACTTGGGGGCAGTGGGGGTAAGGCAATGGAAATGGGAATGTACAGGAATGTGCTAATATTCCAAGCTAAAAACTCTATTTTCCAGCCTACTTGCAGCCAAGAATGGCCACGTCACTCAGCTCAGGCCAACAGGCAAAGGTGTAAGACGCAAAGGTGCAACAAGCAAAGGTGCTGGGTGAGGCTTGACAAGACAAGCCTTTCTTTCCTATGGTCTAGAAGATGAGTCTAAGGGGCTGGAGCTTCAGAAGCCATCTCCAACAATGAAGTTCCCTTAACATTGATAGCAGAAGCCACATGCTTTGGAACTGGAATATAAACACAGCCCAGGTCTCCAAGAACTTTGAGGAGCTGCTGCACATTCCTGAGTACCTCCCTCTGGACTTTACATAAGAGAATAAATACTAAGTGTTTAAACCACTGACTGAACCTTTGCTACTTCATAACCAAAAGTAATTCGTAATTGATAATCAATGGAATTAGGCTTCACAAATAGACAGATAAAGGCTTTACAGATACAAATGGACAGAAAGAGTCACAGGAAAGTAAGCATGAGATACAGGCAAGTCCAATAAGCAGGTTAAATAAGAGATATAATTCTATCTTTTATTTAATCTTTAAGAGAGTGTGGGGATAGTATGCTATGTAGAGAAGTGTGGAAAGTTACACACTGCAGTGTTACCACGGGTTATTTCAAGGGAGTGAGATTACAAGGAATATCTACTTCTTTTATGAGTAGTGGGGATTTTTGTTTTAAACAGTGACTAGGTATATCTTTCATAATTAGAATAAAATATGCCTTTTATTTTATATACACACATATAAAGACATAATATATTATTCTGCTTTAACTTGTGATTTCATTAAAAATTTTTAAACTATTTATTATAATGACTTTTTTGAAAGAGATAATTGTACTTTTCTAGCTACCAATGACCTCATCTTTAGTTTACAAAATATACTTAAGACAGAGGTAAAATCTACTTGGTTCTTTAATATTTACTTAAAAAAACAAAAGCCTGTTGCTGGAAAGTACAATGTCTTATTGTATTCTGACGTGAGAGTGAATCATTAATCTCATAACAGTCATCGGAGCTGTGTAAGAATGCTAGAAATAAAAATAAACTTAGTCAACTTAATAATCCCACCTCTTCAAAGACTGCAAATATTAACATAAAAAAGGGAAGTTTCCTCCAATATATTCAAATAAACTTTGCATAAAAGACTTGCCTGGAGTGAAGTATGTTTTGAGTAACAAAACAGTACAGAATAGTAGTAACTTTTCCCTTCTAAAAGAAAAGCATATTGGTAAAATGAATTTGTTTTCGAAGTTATGAATCTATTGCATGGAAGTTAACTATTCACCTAAGCACTCAAAAGAATCTGAAAAGTTCATGCAGGTAGGCAACTGCCTAGATTTATGAGGGGCACAAGGATGAGTAATCTCAACCATGCTTTCTCCTAAATTCACCCTTTGATCTACTAACTTGTCATCTAGAACAGTGACCTCTAAAACGTACTATGGTTTATCTCATCATCTGATTCACCAGGGAAGAACTGTGACTCTCTTAGGTAAGAGCATGCACCTACCTTCCCACTGGCCTGTCAGCACCAAGCTCCTGTTAATTACCACATCAATTTCTGTAGCTCCATCTTCCACAGCCAATCTGATCTCTTCTAATCGTGTCTTCAAATGGGTCTGTCCAGCTGGAAAGCCAGTGGCCACTAATAGAGATAAGAAAGAAAAGGAAGAAAGAGGGAAGGAGGGAAGAAGGAAAGTAAGGAAGTGGTGAGAAGAAAACAAATTTCAATTGGTCAGTAGTTCATCAAAGAATTCCAAACCCCAAAACATCAGCATTTAAAGACCAGTGCATTAATGACACTTAAGAACATCACTTATGTCATGCATAAGTATGAAGAAACAGACTGTTCTCTCATACTGTATTAGTGTTAGGACAAATACTATCATTTTCTGGAAGACCTGAAATTAAGATGCTGCAGAGATGCTCACGAAGGTGCATTAAGTAACCAGTACCTAAGAAATTATGTCATCTTCACAGTGATCGTCTTAAAATAGTAGTTGTAGCCCTGTCTTAGTGAACACTAGTTATCCAGCACACTAGTTCTGGATCCAAATGTTGATGAAGTTAGCTATCTTGATTAACTCATTTACTCTTAATTTATCATGATTAACTCACTCATGAACCTCTTCAGTTATGGTAAACAAACTGTCATATGTGTTCTCCCACTGCCTATCTTAAAAACAACCAGCCTGGCAGATGAGAATAAAGAAAAGAGAATGCAGGAGGAAAACACACCTAATTAATTAGTCCACAAAACTGGGGCAAGGGCAGGGTTGGGAAGAGCAGATCCAAGTGTAAATAAGAGGAAAATGAAAACATAACTAAACTCTTGAAAAATAGTAACAACTTTTAAAAGCACATCATTAATTCTCCATCCCTGTTTCTAGATACAACCTCTTATGTTTCCTTGATATTAAATTCCCTGGGACCAGGGGCAGTGGCTCTTGCCTGTAATCCCAACACTTTGGGAGGTCGAGGTGAGTGGATCACCTGAGGTGAGGAGGTCGAGACCAGCCTGGCCAACATGGTGAAACCCTGTCTCTACTAAAAGTACAAAAATTAGCCTGGCATGGTGGTACATACCTGTAGCCCAAGCTACTTGGGAGGCTGAGGCAAGAGAATTGTTTGAACACACGAGGCAGAGGTTGCAGAGAGCTGAGATCATACCACGGCACTCCAGCCTGGGTGACAGAGCAAGATTCTGTCTCATTAAAAAAATAAATAAAATTCCTTAGGTCTGCCACCTTGGAGGAAAGCATGTTTCTCTGTTGTTGAAAGCAAAAACTGAACTGAACAGGCTAATGAAAAATTAAGGTCTATACAGGTGTAGCTGCCAAATACTTTGGGAATCCTCATAAATCAATTCTATAGAAATACTGTGTGCCATTTTCTTTTCATGTATTCCTAATAAACTAGTGATCTTTATAAGCCCCTTTTAAATTTTTACTTATTTTAGTTTATTTTTGTGTAGAGGCCTTTGTTGCCCAGCCTGGTCTCAAGCTTCTGGCTTTACTCAGTTTTCTTGCCTGAGCCTCCCAAAGTGGTGGGATTACAGATGTCAGCCACCACGCCTGGCCTAGACTCCCTTTTTAAAGAATCAAGATATTCCTCTAACATCTCTTAAAACAAGAATCTAATTTTATATCTGTCTATTCATCCATCCACATACACAGATACATATTTTCCAAACGAAATCTTTAAAGACTTTTCTTAGGCCTGGCCCGCATATCCTTATTGTTATAGCTTACATATATATAAAACAGAACACGCATACGTGTGTGTTAGTGTGTGTGTGTATATATATCAATATAATATATCATGCCTTATGAGTTTTTTTCTTTACCTGACTATTCCTCCTAAATGAGTTTCCTTAAGGATAGGAATGCAGTTCTGTATTCTTGGGAATAAATATGTCTGCCACTTACTAAGTAATTAATATATACCAAAATCATGAATAAATACAATTAATTAAATACATGAAACTAATTTAAATCACAGTACAAAACTATATATAATGCCCCATTGTATGAAGAACTGGAAACATGTTTAAAAAATAACAACAAAAGCCCCAACACGTTTTACCTGATGCCACCGGGATACTACAGCCTGCAGCCTTGAGCGCTTTTACAGCATCGCACACCCGGGCGGGATAAACACAAACGGCGGCTGTAGTAATGTCTACCAGGAAAACATAGGAATAGCCAACTTTAAATGAAGTTCAACTCACATAACATGCTTTTAATTATTATTTATATCACAACGTTGGCAAAAATCAAATGAGAGAAAAAATAATTCCCCCACAATGCTGCAATAAATTTAAAGATTTTTACTTTCCACATTCCCTTCTAGTTCTTGACAACATGAATCATTTTCTCATTGTTAGTCACAAAAACAAGTCTGATATACTCTTCTTCGAGATTAACGTAGTACTCCTTTCTAAAAATGTCTAAATAGTAAACCTGGCGGTCATGACTAAATGAAAACATTTCATGTAGATAACAAAATCCAGATTTATAGAGCACTCGCACAGGACAATCTGAAGAAAGGGCAGTTTGAAAAAGGAAAGATGAAGAAAAACGTAAGTGAAATTTAGAGAGTGGTACCACAAAAATGACATTTAACTAATCCTATTCCCTCTTTTGCAAGGAATAATAAAATCTGAAACGGAAGCCCTCATTTTAAGAAACAAGTTAATCAATTTAAAACAATTTAGAAATCAATTAGTCATTATAAAACAAAGCAATATCATAAGACCTTACACCAAGTTATCTTTAAGTGCAATAAATAAGGCGGTATTTTTATTGCCAACTCGAAAGACACATAATACTTTTCAAAAGGCACAGAGTTGTTTAGGTTTGTATGTTACCTACAAATTATTCAGGATAAAAGACCTGCACTGGGCCAATTCAACTCTCTAGCTGCACTCACAGCAGACAGGCACTCAGAAGCCATGAAGCATACTCCATGGGAAGGAGATCTGGCTCCCAAAACCAGCCCAGCAAGAAATAAGACGTGCCTGGCCTTCCAGGTCTTGTTTTCCTTATTTAGAAAACAAAGGAATCAATTCTCACATGTATCCAACATCCCCAAAATGCTAAGCTTCTAAACTTTAGCAACTTTAGAAAAGTCCTTCCTTTCATGTACACTAAAGCAGTGAATATGACTTTTTTTGAAAGATCTAATCTAATATACAAGCAGGCAATATTTCTCATTTGCATTTTATTTTCAAAAGTATTTCATATACTCACAGAAAATACTTTATGTATGAGACGTGATTATTAAGTAATGAGACTGGCTTTTTCACACATAGCTAGGGAATCAGAATCAGTATTTTAGAGTCACTAAACAGAAATTTTCCAAAACCAAAAATTGAAAAGAAATATAAAGGCACTCTCTACCAAGCACTTTAATCCATGGATTGAAAGAACTGACCTAAAAAAAAAAAAAAAAAAAGACTCAGATTCTCTTCCTGCTGTTTTTCAGAGAAGAATTTCAATTATTTGTCTATATATACACAGTAAGGGTTTGTATAGTGGATTCTATCACTGCTATCATTAGCAGCTGTATCTTACGCCCTCTTAGATTTAGTAAACAGTATTGTAAGCAGGTAACCACCACAGAGATCACACACAACAACATTACCTTTATCATGCATATTTAAAGCTTTTAAGAGATCTTCCCGGATTGGGTATTTGGCTTTATAACAGAGCCTTTGAATGTTGGAAGGTGTATCATCGCCTGAAAGTGTAGTAAGATCTATAAAGGTAACAGCTTTCAGGAGCCAAGCAGCCTGGTTTGAAGAAAAGTAAAAACAAAGTAAATTAAATAAATAAATAAACCTCCAACCCAGCTGGTTAGTAGAGAATCATTAGACAAGCATGAGTGTTAATATCTTATGTCTACACTGTTCTGTGGAATATTCTGATACATGATATAAACACAGTTCAAGAGCCACTAACAAGATGAACACTACCCAAAATAAAACAAGAGGGAGAAAGGGCCTGAAACATTTTTTTTCTCCCGCAAATATCCCAAATTGAAACCCCCATTAGCCCATGTCTCCCCACTTCTGACTGCTCCATCTCACCCATAGAGAGAACCCATCATAGCTACCCTGACATAGAAGAGTCTGAAAGAAGGTTTCTATCTTACATTTTGCCTCCTGCCCTGGAATCTGGAATGAAATTATTATTTTTAAGTTTCTGAGGTTTTTTTGTGTTTTGTTTTTCAATGTAATCCAATTCCATTTTTAAAACAACATTCATATTTCACAACTCAGTCTGATGAATTTCCTTTTATCTTTTCAATCATAATATTTCTAAGGACGAGCAAAATATGAAATATCACTATAAAGGATTCAATCACAACACTCTGCCTCACTTGTAAAATGAACACTCTGAATACCTTTTAACCCTACACAGCATGTCCTTGGTTGGGATACACTGAAGAAAATGCTGACCACAAGTACTCTACGAATCATCATTTTTGGAATTCTGAAAAATGATTTATGGAAAGTAATAGTAAGGTAAACATGATGGTCAAGAAAGGTCAACTCATACCTAAGGGCCTCAACAGTGGACACATCAGGTTTAGATGTTAGGGCTTTAAAAATTAAAATAGAAGACAACCAAAGAAGGCATGTCTAAAAAACTGAATAAATGTGTTGAGAAAATATGCCATTTAATTCACTCATGAATAAAGATGCCTCAAATTCATTTGCGGCTTTGCCACTCAAGAGTGATAAGATTTTTAACTTGTTCGGATAAATGTGTTATCTTTCTCCAACCCATCATCATCATATATGAATTATTAAAATAAGTCATGGACAGCTGCAATCTTTTAAGTTTAGATGCATCTTGAGCGAAATTCAATATTGTGGCCTTGAAGGAAGAGACCATGCATTGTAAAACACCGGCACAGAAGGCTCAAGAAGAACCCTTACCTGCCACTCCTTTTTCACAGTTCTGCGAGCCTGGATTTGTTCCGCACGCCTCAGAACTGCCGGCTGATTCACTTGTATTTTGGAGATCCAGCTAAGGTCTAAAACAGACACGAAAACACTTTTTGAAACTTAGAGTTTCATTAAATATAGTCACTAATTTTTACATGGTCCTTGAAAGGATATATTTACCATTTGACATCAACATTTTCTTAAAGCTTCTGTTTCTTTTTCGGACAACTATAAATAAACAACCTTGTTGAAGGACGCCCAGGCAACAAAAGGCATACTTCATGCACAATCGCTGCCGTTACTTTTAAAGGCAAAAACCACAATTGCTTCTGTACCAACCTACACATCTGGAACTAGAAGAACCTGTACTGATTCAATACACAGACGTGTCTAACAATGGGGAGATGTGTGTTACCCATGCCACGTACCTCACCTCTGACAGCAAGGACTTATTTGTGAGTGTCCAGCCCAGGACAGCAAATGATTAATAAATACTTAAGTGAACTAATGGTGGGGCTTATAGAATCTGTGATCACCACCCCCTTACTGGCAAGATTAATACATACTACATGCTGACAAGATACAGCCCATTCGTTCTTCAAAGAAGAATTTTTCAAAATGTATTAGAAATAACAACATCGACTGATATAACAGAAGTTAGAAAAAAAGAGAAAACAAATAATTTAACGTTTCAAGAGATACCTCTGTTGCTTTTGTTCTGAGATGCTCTCTCCTACCTTGATCTACCCTTCATTCCCTTCTGGTTAACTATAATTTCTACTTTCAGACCTAGTCTAAATAGTAGCTGTTGTGAAAACACCGTCAGCTCCCCAGACAGAGCTAACATTTGGATAGGCCTCTACCACAGAACTTGTAATCAATTCACCGAGGAGTCCAGGAGAAACTATTTGTTGTACTTAGTACATTGTCAGCCATGATCTTACTCATCTTTGGGTGTCTAACATCAAAGAGTGTTTGGTACACGTATTTCAACTTTATCCACCAATATCCTATAATATAGGGGGCCTCACAGTAAATTGGGCATCAACCTATTTACCTTCTGTAACTAACTTCACTTCTGTATCCCTCTAGCAATTCCATGTTTTTAAAAGAGCCTTAAAAGAGAACTGTAGAAAAAGTTATCCATTAGAAAAAAATGCACTAATTATATAACTCTTTAAAATGTAATGAGGAAAACTGATCACATACTGTATCATGTAACAATATAAATTTAAGTATTTGCATCTAAAGTAATGTTTACAAATGACATTCTTTCTCTCACTCATTTTCATTTCATTCTTCTTAAAAGTATCAGTATTAAAGGCATAGAAATTGCAAGTAGGACTCTGAGTGATTAATAATGATATTCTTATTTAAATTTCACTACGGAAGAAACAGAGTTTGGGTGCTTCTTTTTCTCTCTAATTATTTTGTTAGCTGAAATCATTTAACAAACCAGATTTTTAACATTTCAATCCATCTGCTCCTGCTCCTCAAAGATATTGTATGTTTTCTTGCTTGTTTGCTGAGCCAACTTCACAGAGAAAATGGGAATCTGGGGTCAGGCCGATGAAATCTGCCTCTGCTTTCTCACCCAAGGGCTGCTTTTGTTCTAGCAGAGCCCAAGAAAATCAGACCAGACACATTGGACTTCGTCGAAACACCCTCTACTCAAACACAAGAGAGGCCTTTTTTTTTTTTTTTTTTTTTTTTTTTTTTTGGACACAGTCTCTCTCTGGCGCCGAGGCTAGAATGCAGCAGCATGATCTCGGCTCACTGCAACCTCCACCTCTGGGGTTCAAGCGATTTCCTGCCTCAGTCTCTGGAGGAGCTGGGACTACAGGCGTGCACCACCAAGCCAGGCTAATTTTTGTATTTTTAATAGAGACAGTGTTTCACCATGTTGGCCAAGCTGGTTTCGAACTCCTGACCTCAAGTAGTCTACCTGCCTCGGCCTCCCAAAGTTCTGGGATTACAGGCTCTCTTTTTTTCCTCTGATGATTGGTAAGAGTGATTGGGTTCCTGGTAAAGACTCTTCAGGCAGATATAGAAAAATGAGTTAAGCAAAGAGTACGTGAACTCCAAGGTCACTGCCAAATAACTGTTGACTGTGATCTAAAAAAGGTAGGCCTATTAGTGGGGCAAGGCTTTGAGACGTTGTTCTTTATTGGTCATAGGACACACCTGAAGTCCTTCCCCTTCTCTTCTCTACTCCCAACTCACCACTACTGTTGCCACTGGCAGCACTGGCACCACTGTTGGAGAGGGATCTCAGGCAAACACAAGACTTCACCATCTGGCTCCTTCCTTGCCGCTCCTCTGACTCTGCGGTACAGCCTTCCTAAACTACTGGCAGTTCCCTGACACATTCTGCCAGACTGTCTCTAGATCTCTGCATGCTGTATGCTCCTTCTACCAAGAATGCCCTTCCCTGCCTTGCCGAACAGAGAGCTGCTGCTCATCTTTTAAGACTCAGTTCAAACATCACCTTCCCTGGGAGCCTTCACTGAACCTCACAGGTTGAGACACCCCTTTGCTTCTTTATGCTTCCATGTAACTCTGCATTCTACCTTTAGTACATCCCCTTCACTCAGAATGCTACTGATGTGTCCAAATGTTTATGTACCCAAAAGATTTTTTAAAACTCCAAGCAAAGGACCTGACACACAGGTGGTATACGATAAATAAGTCGAGTGGTTCCCAAAGACCAGAAATGATTGAATTCTGGGCAGTGTCTTTCTCCACTGCTTCTGACTAGAGAGGACTTTTGGATCTCTACAAGAAAAGGTAGGACTGAAGTATAAATGGGATTCCTGGGAAATTTCACCCTAAAAAACAATTTTTAGGCCTGGCACAGTGGCTCACACCTGTAATCCCAGCACTCTTGGAGGCCAGGGCTGGCAGATCACCTGAGGTCAGCAGTTCAAGACCAGCCTGGCCAACATGGTGAAACCATGTCTCTACTAAAAATACAAAAATTAGCTGGTCGCGGTGGCGCACACCTGTAATCCCAGCTACTCGGGAGGCTGAGGCAGCAGAATTGCTTGAACTCAGGAGATGGAGGTTGTAGTGAGCCAAGATGGTACCACTGCACTCTAGCCTGGGCGAAAGAGCAAAATTCTGTCTCAAGAAAAAAAAAAAACCACAATGTTTAGTACACCAAAGATTAGAACTCACAAGGACCTCTTGCCAGAGGTACCTGCAAACCATCTAGTGGAGAATGTAATAAAATTTCTTCTCTCACAGTATCAGCCTTGACTGCTAAAAATATTAGCGGTCATAAAATTATCCAGCCCTACATTTAATGTAGCCACAAAATTTGCCTCTGTGACCTCCCATGGCAATGAATTATGTAAGTGACTATCTCATTTTATTAGCACTTAATTTGCTACTCTTTAATTTCATCAAATAACCCATGTTCTCATATTATGGGGTCTGGGGAAAAGAAAGGACTGATTGGCCTTTGTTATGTCCTTCATAATTTTTAATATTTTATTCAAGTACCCTTTAGCGTCTCCTTTCCAGGAGAAGTGATTCTAATGCACATAGTCTCATCAGGACCAAAGAATCTTCTTATGAGGCCAAGAGGGGTTTTAAGTACGCATGCCTTTGGGGAGAATAGACATGAAACCATAATTGGAAGGCAATGATACTCTTTTCTTAAAATTCTCCAATGAAAAAAACCCCACTATTTATTTTAGCATGTCATTTTGCTGGTTTTTAGGCCCTTGTGTTGGTTATAAATTTGTCCTCAAATACTCTTCTCACAATTTATTATTATTATTATTTTCCAGTTCACGACTTAGTAGAGACAGAGGTCATTTTCCCTGTAACCCTACTTTCTAGACTTTCCATCGTTTCCATGTGTGTTTCTATAGAAGTTCCTGTATTTTTCACAGTATTCCTAAAATGTAACACCTACGAAAGGAGGCACATTTTCTATTTTGATTTTAAATACAGAAAAATAAATCATAATATTAGAGACCCTCTCCCTCAAAATTCGGGGAAAATAAAAGAGATTAAATTTCTCATGCTTTCTCTTCTTTCCAGTTTTTTCTATCTACATGGACTACCAAAATTTGTTCCCTAGTGTTGTCTTTAAATAGTCATTTTCTGATATGCACTTCCATATTTTAATAACAGTATATTGCTGAATGTATGCGAACCCTCGCACTCTGCTTTACATAGCAGTGTCACATCATGATTTTACGGTTTTCCTACCTTCCTTTATACCTCCTTAAGACATCAGCCATTTCCCAATTATTGCTCCTTTTCAGTAATCAATTGCCTATTGCTACCAACTACATTCCTCAATTCATTAAGTAATGCCAGTAGGTTAATCTTGGCACTTAATCACTTATTCTGGCATCTAAAATGCTGTTTGTACAGTCCTCGGGCTGGCCATTTCAGTTCCAGTTGCTCTCAGGCTGCCCAGGATCACACAGTTATCGGCCTCAAAGTATCTAGCAGCAGTTGGATTTTACAGTATCTAGCTGTAGTTACACAGCTAGAAGGTCACAGCTCCTTGGTGGAATGAAGTAGATTATATCTGAGTCCATATACAAGTCATACAACTTCTCCATTTAGCACTTCGTGAGTACAAGCATTGTGCCAAATGGTGTGAAAAATGCAATGGCATAGAAGAGTTGCTCCTATCCTGGAAAATTTGAGAGAAAAGCCATAGGCATGGGAAGAGGTGAAAAATACAAAATAAAAGCCAACACAAGAGGGCAAAAAAAAAGTGCTTTCGACCAACATTTCCTGAAATCTTTCTGCTGAAAATAATGAAAACTGACTTTTGTGATTAGAACAAAAAGTGAAAGCGTGGGCTCAGAAAATTGAGAAGAGGTTGGAAAACCAAGCTCAGAAAACAGACAAGAACTAAAGACAACAACAGAGAGCCAAGAGCTGGAAGAGCAACACCAGCATTTAACAGCAACAGCCTGGCCAAGATGCCACACAGCTGCCACCTGACACCACAGTCGCCATTTTCCTTAACTCACTCAGAGCCCCAAGCTCCCTATGAAAGCATCTAATAACTGGACCTCGGTTATATGCTATGCATGACTATGAGGGAATCTCTTTCCTC